TAGTGGGCCGGGCGTCTGATCATATTGGATAAAGTGAGCTCTGAGGAAGGCACAAAGAAAAGGGATTAGGACTAGTGAGTTCTCCCCTGATAATGCTGCTTTGATATTCAGGAGACAGGAACCAAGGAAATTAAGTATTGATTTTCATGTATAAAATGTTAGTTGTCAGCTTGTAGAAAATACTATAAGGTCACTTTAGTTAGTCTCTAAACATAATTTTATATCATATGTAGTTCCTAGGTTTTATTTACTTAGTATGCACATGGTACTTAATTCTCATCATAAGCTAAGAAAAAGAGAGGAACTATTAATGTTCTAATTTTCCAGGTAAGGAAACTGAGGCACAGAGGGGTTCACTGAGCTATGCTGGAGTTGGACCCTTAAATCATCTGTATGAGTGATAATAATTTCATGATAGAATAGGACCAAATGTCTTAAACAAAACAAAAATGTATTAGTTTTGGTATTGCCTAGGTATGTTTTTAAATCCTTTTCTATTTCAATCTGTGTCTTTGTTTTGTCCTTAACGATTATTTCCGTGGCAGTATTTGACAGGGATTTCTTTTGAACACGGGATGACAGTCTCTGTTGCATTACTTCTTTAAAGAAAGGTGGACGTGGTCGGGAAAGGTGATTAGGATGTTATGGCATTCTAACAAATCTCAGTTCCCTCTCTCAGGAGCACCTTCCTGTCTTGGACTTTGCCATGCTTTGGTGGCCAGAGGGACAGTGTTTTTCCCTGTTACTCTTTCTTCTTGAGTCAGCGAAGAAAATACTCCAAATCTATAATATTCTAGTATCGGGCTGGGGAAGACATTTTTTTGAGTCCTTGTCTATTTGTCTTTAAAAGTATTATATACCTTTGTGATATCAAGTAAATCACTCTTTATAAGGTAAAAAAAGACACTTCAAATCGTGGAATAAATCTAGACAGGAAGAGTTAAGTTCTCCCAGGTGCTCTGACTAGGGAGCCACAAGTCAGCCAGGAAACAGCTCACCCTGCAAACGTAACACAATATTTTAATGAAGAGGCAAGGAGTGGGATGCCCTCCCTACGTGGTCCAGCTACACAGCGCTCGGGCTGACAGGGGGTCAGCGGTGCTGTGTGAAGTCCAGTCACATGGTTCCAAAATTAGAAAGGATAATTAGAGACTTACAGTTATACATGTTCCAATGGGTTCCTTTGTGTCTGGGTGCTTCTCCCTCGCTGGTCTATCAGCCGATGACCACAACTCCAATCAGTAAGTTCTCAAGGCGCAAATGCTGTCACTGTGACCATTAACAGAGTTGCATGTTGTCCAATTCCATTGAGCTTGGTTTGGACAGGAGGAGAACAGAGAGAGCAAATACAGTGATGTGGCAGGAACTTCTCTTTGGGTTCTCTGAAATATATGAAACTGCTTTTGAAAATAAGCTTTTTAGTGTAATAGATCTATTTTATATCTCCGCTTCCTAGTTTTTCTTTCAGATGTTGCTCGGGATACCGAGGAGTACGGCAGGAGGGGTGAATTCCATCTGTGTGCAGCTGAGGTGCCTGAGGAGAGTGCTACTGTCTGTCTTCAGCCCACTCTGAATTCGATATTTGTGGTTGTCTGCCTTCCTCTTGTTTTTTTTTTTCCCCTCCCCTTCTCAGATGGAATGCCGGTGTTTTGAAACTATCCTCTGGCTCCTTCAGTTTTTCTCTTTCCTTAGTGTCTTTCTGCTGTAGGAAGAAGTCTCATGAAATAAGCGGAATACAGAAATTTTGTTGAAGTGCTGTTTGAACAATTTTTCCGACATCACAATTTAAACCTGAAGTTGTTTTAATATAGTGTATTAATATTAAA